AGATGACTCATTTCATTACATGTTGAATTTCCGAGCAAATAAATATTTAGTCGTGTTTTTTTGATGAATTGCATAGAATACGTCATGTGTGCATCGGATTTTTAACGAGAAAATTGTCAAATCAAGATTCGCAGTGTGTCTTTGAATGTTTAATAACGAATATTCATCTTGTAATGTGTATTCGGAAAGTTTCACCTTTGAGGTCAGTGATTTTTAGTATACATAAAGGTTAATTAAAACATGACTTGACTTTAAGAGAATTTTAAAAAACAACAAGAGAGAGAAATGCTATGATTCGGTGAGACAGAAATAACGATTTAAATCTAAAATAAATATACAAGTTTTTAAACTAGAACGACAGCTCTAGATAAGGGTATATTATGTATTGTTACATATATTCTTCTGTGTGTGGACCTAGAATACCATATGTGTGTGTGTTCATAAAATGGCCTGTTTTTGATAGTTGTTTTATACATGTAGGTCTTTGGTTTCTAATTTTCGTATTGCTTTTTATTTCACACTTTAACTATAATTTGATTTTATACTAGACAATCGTGTTTTATTTTGCGGACTGTTCACTCAATTAAAGGAGATAAATTTTATTACCCACTTTTAGTACGTCACTTTTTCTTCTCTGACCATTCATCGGTCAACACCAACGTTAACTTGTGGGATGGATACATTTTATGGATGGACGTGTTTAAACTGTCGTTAGCTTTTTTCTACTCAGAAGATAATATAATCTGATGAAATTTAAAGGTTTCGTAATGTTTCACACAATGCTGTAACTGTGTCGACTTGTACCAGAACTCTGTATATTACTCACTGTGTTACTGCCTCAAGCAGATATAAAATTGACTCAAGTTGTATAGCCTACCGAAAACACAAAACATGTCATTTTCGTGAGTGAAGCCTGGAAATTATATGGTAAGAAAAGTAGGTTTCACAGGGTGGCCACGAACCATGAAAATCTAGCAAAATCAGGGAATTTGAAAAGGGGTCAAAGAGTAAGGTAAAAATGTTTTAAAGAATATGGAAAATATCCACCCTCATTTTATTTCATAATTTGTAAGCGCACGCAATTTTGTGTGTGTATTTAGCGACGCTTGTTATTGGTATATATATATTTCAACATGATCTTCGTCAGTCACTCTACTCTGTCTTATTTTATCCGATTATAATTCTCTTATTCATTATGCTTAACGTTAGGGTAAATATTCTTTTATTGATATAAATGTTTATATTTTATTGTCTAAGCTGCAATGTTCTTGTGTAAGATCTTTAACATCCTGATCCGAGGTATATGTTTTAAAGTTTTATTACCATATCGCCAACTAAAATGGATTAAATTAAACAGAAGATGGAGGAAAATTTGAAATGTAGATATTTCGTACACGTGCAGGTTTTAAAAACCTGAAATGTCAGGCAAAAAATGTTGGAAAGGATATGGTCACTTGCTTTTTGTTTTTTTTAAGATAGGCTTTCTTTACGTTAAAATAAGAATCATCGCTCGGTTGTTTTAATTGCCATTTGCTAGACACATTACACGCGTTCGGAAACCGATTCGATGAATTAATTGCGCCAGCTTAAGTTGTTTTGTAAAAAAAAAAAAGTTATATAAAGAAATAAAAACTGTTATAGTTGGTGTGAAAGAAATCTATGCACTGTTCCTTCTAATGTATCACTACTTCAGAAAATAATTGTAGTATATTGTAGTTTCTCAATTTAATCCAAACCTTGTAATAAACGTATTTTGCTGTACTGATTTTGCATGCAGACCTCCTCAGAGGTTGTCAAGGGATGGATTATCTTGTTTGTGCGAACGTTTGTCCTTTATAATTTATATGGGAGTTCTTCCAAGTTTTTGCTGAATATTTTGCGATTTTTTTAAATGAAAACCCTTAATATCATTATTGTTTGATATTAGACGAGTCCGACTTTGATGATATAGACAACAATGTTAGTTTTTAGGTTCTTTAACGAAACAATTACTTATATATGTTCTGTAATAAGCAAAATGTTAAAGGCTTATATCAACTAAAATCAGCGTGATTTCTTTGCCAGTTTTGCATGTCAGTGTATTTTGTCTATTCTTTTTTTGGGAGCTAAAAAATATAAGAGAACTGATACTTGCATTATATTAAGTAACAGGTGAGCTTGAATCGTTTCGTTAGCTGTTCTTAAAATAGTATTTGAGCTTATTTTGATAAATTAGCACAAGAAATGCGGCTAATCCTTGGACGAGGATAATGTGTATGTATATAATATTTTAGGTACATCAGGTTTTTGTTTATGAGAGAGAACAGGCTTGCATTCTAACGTATCCGACAAGTACGTTATCAAAGGAAGTTATCAAACTACCACGATACTACCAGGGTAAGATAACAAAATACGAGTCTTTCAAAATATCTGCAATCAATGATTAACTAGTAGAGCCTGGCCAGGACTTTGTAATTAAATATCGCAATCTCAAACACAAGTCTACAGTGAAACAACGCTGTTAATATCACAATAATAAGGAATTAGGAAAAAATAAATAGAAGAACAAAAATCACACAACCTAGTTTCCATACTTCACCGCTAGGAGAACAACCACTTTTTAGTTTTATTAATATACAAATGACTAGTTTAATATAGATTAACGTTTTTAAAGCAAATTTAAAATTTAGCTGAACTAAACGATGGAAGAAAACAAAACCATAAGTAAAAACAAAATATAAATGGTTATCTTACAGCTTTATTTTCTATGAATTTAACTTTCCATGTTAATATTAGCAGCCATTACGTTTTTTACTCTGTCCTAATATATTATTAAATACAAAATTATTATAAATTAAACATGTTTTTTAATGGCAGTATATGATTGGTAGTGACGTTTTTCAACGAGAGAAAACAATTGGTTGAGTAACGTGTGAACATACGTATGCTACTAACTTCACGCGAGAACTCCCCTCGATTAGCAGCTGTCCAATAGTGGAAGGACCTCTTCAATCCCGCCAAGTTATTGTATCTTCCGTGCACTGATCGATGTTCGTAAGTGTGTGTAAATGGTCAACGTCACATCGAGCCGTACTCTGCGCACGCGTTGTTTTTACAACACGTACATGGTCATGACACAGATGGTACATAACAAACCCGTTTCAACATATAACATTAATCATGTCTTCTTTTATTCGTTTTAATATTGCAAAAAAGTTGGGAGTTTGATATTTATAATCTGTCATTCGTATTTATAAAACGAGTACCAGAAACAATAAAAGTTTGTTGAAAATACCGTAATCACTTCCATTTTTCGAAATGATACAACAATCGAGAGAACTTGTTCAAGACCGTAGGTATTAAGATACGTGATTCAGTGTGTAAGAATTTTGGAATGAAGTTGTTAGCGAAAGGGTATTTTGATCTAGTCATACGTTTGTAAAATGAGTTTTTCAAAGTGTTTGCCAGAGTTAGAGCTTTCGTCTAATCCTGATTTATGACTTCAAATGATTTTATAATTCTTACTTTGTATAAACTTGGAGATTAAATTACAAGAAGCAGCATATGTTAATAATCTAAAATAACCCGTCCTTACTCTGCCATATTGATGTATATTCAGATAATTTTCAAAATTGTTTTGTTAGTGAGTACAACAGAAATTTCAATGCTTTTAATATGTTGCAGAAACAGTGAGATTTTTTAACATCAAATTATAACGTTGTTTGTGATCCTAGAATCTTAAATAGATATCAAGCTAAGGCTTTGTAAAATACTGCTAATGTAGGTAAGATTGAGTGGTTATTCATTTGGTATTTATATTTTACAAGCTGAAATACTCGTCAACTGATGGGGAGTGCTTAAGCTTCATTATAACAATGTAAGTGTAACAGCAATCATATATTTCAAAGTAATAACTTGAACATAAACTTCATCTCAAGATTGTAAAATTATAACATAACATCTTCATAAACAACATTTGTAATTTGCTTTACATCTACCAACAAATAAAGATTTTGAGGTGATCTCACCCTTGAACACCCTACATCTCATTGACCATGGTTGTTTGAGAAACAGTCCAGCAACTTTCATACTTTGATCTTGAATCCCTTTAGAATATTCAACATTGTCTAAATGGTCAACCTGCCAAGATTGTTTGAGATTGACTTAATAGGCTGGGAGTAATTAACCAATAGGCTTTAC